TCCGTTATAAGTAATAATTTTATCGTTTCCAACGGAAAATCAATCGATAAATAGGGCTCTTTCCGACACACATGGAATAATTTTAGATACCAATCTCGTAATCTTTGTAATCTGGAGATACAATTAAATATTTTGCTTATATCATTTTACTTGGTGGTATAGTTACAAACGAGCTTTACATTTCGGTATTGAAAGTTTGACAACACTGTAATGGGTCTAAAATATCATATTGCTGGCGCATTCTACTAGTTCCCCAACTTACCGTTGTTTAAACGTAGAGTGCGCTAAAGTGATTTTTTACTATGTCGGTATTTCAGGTCACGAGCCACGAAATCCCGTAAGATGCTTGGTCTATTCATATATCTCGTCGGTGGTGATAATACACTATACGTGAATGATGTAAGTTACCGCGTGTCTATCTTTAATACTGACTTTTACCAGTCTTTCAAACAGGCTTGCGTTAATGTTGGTATACATGGATGTTCGTGTTTGTATAACACAACTATGCGCAGTAGATGAGGTCATATACCTATCCGCTTGTACAGGTGGTTCATTCACGCCGTGGTTCCTTCAGTCACTGTGAGAAGCGAGTGCATGACGCCTTTTCTCAGGGAATCTCAGTTTAATTTTCATTAGTGCATCTCGTCATGATGGCCAATAACGCGTTAAGTATTAGGTATTCAGTGACAATCATACTAGTATTCACAGTTATAGCTACATACAGTAATTACACAAATATTGATCTGCCGTCTGATCACGTCAAGTATTACTTCAACTCTTTTCCCACGGTAGCTGAAGAATGCCGCAATAATACCGCTTGTCCGTACAAGGTAATGCACGATATTTTAATAATAATAATAATAATTATGTCATAATCTATCGGTTAAAAGAGTAATGATACTTTTTTTCATTTTTGATGCGAAAACATAATACGATAATCATGAAAGCATCGGAGATGCAAGTAATTATATTAAACTCTAATTAACGAAGACACTAACGAGAAATTCTTGTTGGAAAAATTTAGGATAGCCTCGATACCAAAGCTTGTTGGGGTTACGAGCCGGATTGCAAATCCGAAAACTCTTTTTCCATTCCTCAATGTCCAGGCGATCACAGGGGATGGGTGACAACGAAGAAAGCACAGATAGAAACGTTCTACGCTCAAGGCGATTTTGGCTACGTGCGTGATCAAAGGAAAGAAATGTCCATTTTCTGTGAACCATTGTTTGTAGTAAGTGTCATTCAATTAAAAGAAAAATATGATTTTTCCTTCTATCTTTATTTATAATACTTCTGAACGTAGGACGACTCATCTTTGGAGTGCTCAGAACATATGAGATTTTGTCGAGCAAGGAACATAATGATTAATTTCACAGACTTAATTCGAAGAAAGGAACCCATACGATACAAAATGGATGTTCTGAAAGAGGGTCAAATTGGAGGGTACTGTACGTGAGTAAAGCAATCTATTAATCGATTACTTTTAGCTCACTCGATATTCATATATTGCCTCGTTTGCACAGATTAAATGAAAAAATGTTGCAAGAAAACGCGGACCATATCAGTCCACTGCAATCTTGGGGACCTGAATTACGAAATTTCCGCAAATTGCCCCGACCGCCAATCGTCAACCACGACTGTGATATCGTGATCGAAAAGCCAACGTTCATAATGAAAATAGACGCTAGTAAGTCGTAAGAAATGATTCTCACGATTAATGACTGTGATGCAAAATTCGTCGAACACGCAAGTCGTTCTGTTTCAGTAGTAAATATGTATCATCATTTTTGCGACTTTTTCAACTTATACGCGTCATTACACGTAAACCTCTCGCACCCCGCTGCATTCAGCACTGATAATCATATAATGATCTGGGAAAGTTACAGGTAAATGACACCAGTGCAATATGAAAACCACGAGATGCTAGATACCATGAGAGTTCTCTCTCTCTTACTTTCAGATACCGTTCAGCGTTCCAAGACGCCTTCGAAGCTTTCACAAGAAATCCACTTTGGGATTTAAATACATTTCGCGGAGAGACCGTTTGCTTCAAGAATCTTGTGTTTCCCTTATTGCCACGCATGATTTTTGGTCTTTATTACAATACACCTCTTGTACGATACACCTCACTTTTCGTTTTTTTTTTTTTTTT